ATATAAGGTGTATATCATGGCGGAATGCACAATAATCAAGGAGACCGTAAATATCTAATTTCATCTGACGTGTACTTTAAACAATAATTTTCAAATTCACGCATAAAATTTATACGAGTAATAAGAATTTTTTTGTTAGATAAAAATAGGAACATAAATCTAAATTTAGCTTCTTTAACAATGGATATTGAACTATTCCCTAATTTCGGTGGAACTTTCTTCATCAAATACTGCACCGCCAGTTTAACCTAATTTGACATTTAGCAGTATATTGGCCAGGCCGCTCTGGAAATTTTTAATATTGCAGGCCACCGGATAAAAATATTATTATAGAAAGACCTGCTCGAGCTACTTCCTAATTCTATAATTCACAAGTATTTCGCCTCAAAAGTTTGGGTTGGTGTTTTGAATTTATTCGTTTTATATTATTGTAAAATTAATCATCAATTGGTTTTCAAAATAACAAATTTGTTATACCGTCAAAAAGGTTATCAAGAAAACTTTTTACTTAAGGTTTCCATAGAGGGCCAGGTATGTATTTAACAGTTATGAATAATATGGAGGTACAGTATTAGATGGCCAGAACTTAATAACACGGCCAGACGAGTTACGTAAGATATTATTAAATCTCAAACGAAAACCATACTCGTGTTCTGACCTTTTCAACTTGGTATCCCAGCCGTGTAGCCGCACGTAGTTTCATGCCTTAAGTTTCAATAAATGTTAAAATTTTATTGGAACGATGTGCCGAGCGTCGATGGCGACACCTTCAAGCACCATCCTATAGGGGCATAGTTTTGGAGGATACATGGCGGCAATGACTGCTTATAGTGTTCAATTTCAATATTGCCAAGATGAACTTAAATAATGTGAAAATAATGTGTCCCAAGATCAAAATAGTTACGGGTAAGTCTAAGCAACTCCTATATATAATTTGAAATTTGTAAATGGAGAGTTTTACTACATGCAGTGATGGATACCCTTCAACCCGGATGGATTCCCCTTTTTCCGATAATTTTAGGTAGTGTTACGTTCATGAATGTAATCCTAACATATTCATTTTCTAGATACAATACTCATTGGCCATGTGGACTTCCTTGTAAAGCTTGATCACTTGGCCAACAAACATGAATTTTATAATTAAGTTAATTATGTGTTAACCACGTTCTTTTTAATGTAAAGTTTTCACAGTGCAAAAAATTGTTCCGTAAATTAGATACCGGCAAATTTAACGGAGTATTGAGAGCAAGGTTATGTAAGCATTAATGTGTCACATATTATAAGCTGCCATCTAGCCATTGATATTTATCCCATTTGTATAACAAAATCATTCAAAAATGTTCAACGCTATCAAAATCATTGTCATCATCTTACAGATTGCCGCCATGGGACGGTTTGGCGCCACTGACAATGAATTATGTCCCATTAGTAGAGGGTTTTATTTCGAATTTTCTAATGATTTTGTTGCTATAGAATACTACTAAGTGATGAATAGAGAAAAATTCATAGCATTAATTCAACTAGCATCGACTGCATGGATAAAGTCATAGTGGCTAATATTTTATGCCAAATTGCCAGCCTCAGATTTGCATTGGTGATGTATGTACATTCTGCAACACTTATTCTAAGCTAAGGGTCATTGGAGACCAATGAACATGGATAAATTAACCGTATACGTACCTATGATACGATAATGGAGGATTATGTGGCCCATTCTTACCTCTTCTAATTTTCTAAGTCTGCACTAACCTAACGAAAGTTAAATTTGGCACGTAAAAAACATATTTGTCTACATACGTTTAAACGTGGTGTATACTTCCCTATTAGAATAATTGTAAGAATTGGATAAATCCATTCTAACCAGTTTAGTGGTATCCTTTTACGAAATTCGAATATAGTTTGAAATTTAGGGTACCCTTCATATTTACTAAGTGGTCTTTGTGTGCATAGTTCTGCTTTTTTTATATCTTGAAGAAATCTCAAACAAAACATTAACTGAGATCACTACTTTGCAACTATCGGGGTTTAAAACAGTGGAAAATCCAATTTCATGGCTTCTCGTTTGTCACAGAAAGACCAACATATTTCCTGCATTTTCCGCTCAGTGACATTCTCCTGAATTACTTACAATTATTTACATACATATTACCTAAAAAATTAAATTCACTACAACCGTGAAAAATTATCTTCACAATGTAACTTAATTTTTTACTGTAAGGTTTCCTCAAAGTAATAACTTTTTGAAATCTGACATCCGGTTTATCCTGTATCGATAGCATGTAATTATAATCATCAAATTATTGATCACCCAGTTCCTGCAATAACATAGGAAAATGTTTATTATTGTCTAAATATAAGTTTCATACGCTCTAAATAATTGGTGGAACAGATTGTCTCCAGCGGAGGATACGTCTATACACTGTAAGTAATTTGGTAATCATTATTACCGAATTCGTAACGTATGTATATGACTCTACAAATACGGTAATAACAAGCACTACATTTGGCGAAGACTTGGTACTAAATTTCTACCATGTTAGTAATAGTTTTTACCACATTTTGTATGAAATTCTTTACGAAAATTGGAAACGTATATGACTGCAAAATTATTTACAGTGTACCGTGATAGTAACAACTTATCAACGAAAAATGATAAATTGTCTTCCGTTTTGTGATAAGTATTTCGTCACTCAGAGGTATCACATATCAAAGTTTTGGAATTAAAAATGTCGCCGATAGGAGACAACGTATTATTTCCCGTTGATAAATTGTTACCATCACGGTAGAGACGTATAGTGCCTCTGCTGGAGATTATATTTTGCAAAAATTATCGAGAATGTAACAAAGTAGGAATTAAGGAGTTTATATGTTTTATAGAGCCTATTATTTATGTAATTAATCAGAAATAAGCATTATCTAATTAAGACAAATTAATTACCCTAGATTGGGAAAGATCCCTTTCGCCGCATTCGAAACGTGAGACAATCTGCATTTGAAATTATCTACGACGTCGATATTTACAATAAAACCAAAATTAAAATCTCAACACTATATAGAAATTAAATATAAGTTTCTTTACATACATAACACTTGCACATGAAATTACACAGGTTTGTTATAAGTATTACATTACTTACTATTTCATCCTTAATTTAACTGGAGTCAAAAAAAATACTTTTAAACTTTATGTAAGGAGATTATAAACTCAAAAAAATATGTATGTCGTACACTATCAGCTAGAAATTGTTTTTTTATTATGAATACAATGTTGAATCACATCTTAGCGTAACGTTTAAGATATTGAAGTTTGTCCAATTTTATTTAATTTGTTGTTAAAAACAATTGACAATGTGTGACAACCCACATCTTGGCAAGATGTATGTAGATTGTCACGTAGCTGTAAGATGATCTTACAGCTACGTCACTGTAAATACGTTGCACGATTGCCTAGCAACAGTAATCATTTTACCATGTCCAGTTGACTATGGAAGAAATTCTGCCGTAGAATAGCTATGCTTAACCAGATATAATTACGAGTCATACATAAGTTCGGAACTTGTCGGTATATCGGAGACCAAATCGAGCATAATAAAATCCAAGAGTGGTTTGGTCGCGGGGAAGAGATCAAAATATACATGTGCAAATTAACTGCGTGCAAATTCACCTGATTAAATCATCTCTGTGATTCTGGCATGAAATGAATTCACATACAATGCAAATCATGTAGGAATAGTTTCCCTTCGATTCGTAACATATATGACTTTGCAATACTGTAATAACATGTAATATACATAGTATGGTAAATATTTTTTGAGAATCTTTACCATACCTGATACAAATTTTAACCCATTGGTAATAAAATAATTAGTTGTATCGTTATTAAAAATGGTATTTAAAAATCATATTGAGGTAATGATTTCAGTGGGAGAAATTTTTTGATACCCGTATTTAATTAAGCTTTCCTAAATACATGGCAGGGTGCAAACAACAATTAAAAAATTTTGAAATCCATTTGGTGCGTTGGGTTTTATATTTTTTTAAAATTGCTTATTAAACAACCATCCAACTCTGCAATTATTTACTTACATGATATAAAGAGTCATGCCTTATGAAGCATTTGCTACAATGCTTGCAAAAAGTATGGAAATATTGAAATCCTCGTTTTTTTTGCCCTTTATAACTTATGTGTAGGAAATGCATAATGTACGAATAATTTCAAACCCTGGTTAAATCAGGATTTTCTGCCGAGCTGGAATCAATCCAATCTAGGCGTTGGTCTGACTTTAATATATATGTACGTATCAACGAAATTTTCAAAGAAACTTAAGTATGAGATGTAAATACGTATGTCAGAAATCGTTATGGTCTGTGCAAAATTAATAGGCCATTTTTTTCGCTATGGTAAAATGTTCAAAATTCATTACTAATTCTGGGACTATAAAAATATTTTTAAAGCAGTTGGGAGCTTAAATGTCAGTCAATAATTATTCTAAAGATACGAATTTTGGTTGTATATCCATTAAGAATTAGTAAACAGACTCTTCCACGCGCAGCAGAAGATTCAAGAAAACGGCCTATTAATTTTGTACAGACCATAGCATAGAAGTCCTTTTGAAGTATGAGATGTTACTAGGACACAAGTTGGTATAGGAGTGATATTTCTGAAGAAAAAAAGAGAACTCGGCCGAGCCAAGAATAGAACCGTGTTGTTAGAAGAGTATTCGCGTGGTTTGGTGTACTCGTTCCAGATTCATCTTAAGAAACAGAGAGAATGAAATTTCTCAGAGTTCAAATTCAGCATACTGCTATTTCTATTACTTTATTGAGAATTAGGTAACATTTTGTAGTAGTCTTTAATTAATTAAGTTTAAATTAAATTTTGTCGCACAATAAAGATTTTAGCGCCAGCAATCGGGGTATTACTTATTAGTTTAATTTATTTGTTCATAAAATTTTATGAATCCATAAAATGAGTATTTTCATCTTATTATTATCTTTTATAGGTGAATTACCTGTAATATGCAAAATCTAGATGTCGATTTGTTCAATATATGAACCATGATAACATGACGACGTAAGTTTTTGCATTTCTCCCTGCTCTCAATTTAAATAATTGGAGCTATTTTCCAATTTGCTAAAATATTGGACTTTTAATGCACAAAAATCTGTATCCACAGATCCTGATCCAGCTTGCCACAGTGTGCATACTGTGGAATTTATAAACCGTAAGTTCTTTGCGAATTTCTCTGCACAAGAAAAAAAATCTCTTCTTCATTATTTTCTACATATTTGAAGGAAACTGCAAACTATTTAGCGTCCTATTTATTTTCACCAAATAACTACATGGAATATCCTGATGCAATTTGTGGAGTCATCCATCAACAGGATCCACCAGTGGAATCCAACAGAATTTAAAATCGAAGTCTTGAGGTCCAACCAGGTTGGTTTAGAGTAGGATTGCGTTAAACTCTGAATTAAGTTATGTTTACTGTAAGTAGTTCCCTTAAATTAAGGTGCCTTATAAACGTTAAAAGGTTATAATACTTGAAGTGCGTGAAAGTGAATACATATTTATATTTACATCACAATTGTGCAGCAATTATTACCACACTCAAAATAAACTGGTAACAGACTGTTATGTACCAGGTGGTGACTGATATGTGGCTCTACCGGGCATGGTAATAAATTTGTTACTGAGCAGCCGTACATTTATTACCAGGCTGTTAATAGTTACCAGTTAGCGAGTGACAAATATTAGCAACTTGGTAATACCTTTACTACCGTCGGTAACAAATTTGTTACCATGGTGGTAGAGTCACGTATGGTCACCGCCGGTGATATCGCTTATAAATAATTATTTTGAGTTGAGGTATGCCTAGTGACCGATATTGACTTTGTGAATTCTGGCTTATACAACTTGAGAGGTTGTGTTTTTGTATTGAAACTCTCTCACTATGTAAAAGTGGCAGAAGATGATTGGAATAGGTTGGAATATGTAGGATTAGTTATGAAAATCTATGCGTTGTTTCTTTGGAACGTCATATTCCTGTAGCATAATACTTGAAATCTACCTTATCAAACGAAAAGTTAAAGGAAATCAAAGGAATAACGGAAGGAGAAATTAAGTGATTCGAATGAATAGTTTGATGCGAATTTTTAAACATAGAAACAACATAATAAATTTGTAGGGAAAAATATTACATTACGTCGTACTAATTCATAAATGACCTAAGTGCAGGGAATAGTTAATTAAGAATTGACCTAAGCGCAGTCGACAATTAATTAAGAATTTACAAGTCCAGTCAATTTATATGTTATGCTTGTGCACTTAGGTTATTTCTTATTTAATTAGAATATGCACTGAAGTCAGTTATGAATACGACGATTAGTAATTTCAATTAATTGGCTGCTGGTTGGCTGATAAGTGCATGCTCATCTTACACAGGTCAACAAGATGGTTAAATTCTTATGAGTAAAGGTTCGGAACGTTCATGCATAAAATTTTGCATTTTTCGAATTTTAGAAAACTGTATAATTTATCGTGATGACTTTGAAGTTGTAAGAATTAAATGTTCCTTGAGGGTTGAAAAGTTTGCGAACTGAAACTTTTTTCATTTGCCGAATGGTACAAATTTGCAGAAAAATCTTTAACGTGGAATACGAGTACGTCTTCCTAGAACATTTTTTTGGGAAATGAGAAATCATCTTATTATGTATTAGTGACTTGGGCCTGTAAACTTTACGCTATTTTATGCATTCATTAGTCAGATTGGTGTCAAATGAAGTTTTAAACCCCAGAAAGTAGTAGATATTTGTAGCATTAAGCCACTGGGTGAAAATTGAAAAAAACCTTCCAAATCACATTTTACGCTATGATTAGTGTTTATATGCTTTGATGGAATTAGTTGGACATTATGATGCAAGGCTATATGACTTTTACAGCATAGTGTGTTGTACAAGCCTTTCCTTCAAATCTTTATTGTATGCCAAATAAGCCCTGGTAAGTTGAGACTTTTAGATTCAGATGTGAATATTAAATGCTTTAATGTAAATCTTGCCTTCAGTTTCGAGTAGTATGAGAACAGTCAAAATGTGTTCCAAAACTTTTTAAAACATATATATTTTAACAAAAAATACAATGATAACTGTAACTAACTGTGTTCAGAGCAAAAAGTCGTTTACCTCATTTTATGTTTAATGCGTTAAATGCTAAGTGCCTCAGTGACCTTGGGTCTAAGGTGCGAGTAATTCACCTGTAAATTTACGTATAAAGTGTATATTTACATTAATTTACATTAAATATTTCCATATTAATTTACATTAAATATTTCCATATTAATTTACATTAAATATTTCCATATTAATGAGACTGCGACATTCACGCTGGTACTTTCAAGTCATCTAGAAATTGATCTTGAGTTGGAACTTCTTAACCCTAAAATTCTATTTTTATTTTTTGACATTTTGTTGCAACTGGGAACCGGCATAAAATGGTTATACTATAAGAATTATGGTTTTTTACTATTTTGCCAATAAATAATAACCTGATGGTGACGGCTAACGATTACTATTTCCCTTAAAAATTTCTAGCGCTGTGGAGAGTAAGTATTTTTAGAAGTCTATTCTTAGCCATGATGGATTGGGTTAGTGGCATTTTTGAAAAGAATAATTTGTTCCGGACTATTTGTGGAATAATTTTGGGTTTAGGTAATTGGTAAGGTATATCTTTTCTTAGATCGGATAGATTTTGTACGTGTCGGTTACCTTCCTTTTGGTTAATATCTTAGGGGCTACTCGTTGTTTACGATTTGCGTAAATATGGTTAGTTATTTAATTAAGGTTATGTCACGACACACATGTGCCTGTATTAAACCAGAAAACTGGTCAAGATATCGGATCGGCCCAAGTGGCTGTCCAGAGTGTACGATCACTTGGGACGAGAAGAATGTTCTCGGCGTGACTGAGGGATTGAGGAGGGTTCGGTTAGGTTAGAGTCCACTGGGAAACATTATAAAGGACACACTATAAAGTCCGTGTTTTCTTCCTAAACAGGCATGTAATGATGGTACATATTACATACCTTGGATGGTCTTGCTACAGGAAGACATGTCTTCAGATTTACAACTTTAAAACTTTCTTCAAACTCGTCAAATTCATGACGATCTTTTTGCATTGAATATGAGAAAGGTGAATATATGTAGTTCGGCCAAGCCGAATGCAATATGATGTCGTTCAAATTCTGTCCCTTTGCGTGAAAACAGGTCATACAATCTTTCCTCTTCTTTCGTTGGTTAACCCTAAATTTACAAACTAAATTTCTTGGGGGAATGGTTTTCAGACCTAGGTTTGAAAAAACAAATGCAGTTCAATCCACTTAGCACTCATGCGGCAGTTAGCCATGTTTTGAAGAAAAAGAGAGAGTGGAGCTGAGAAATGAGAGATTTAATTGTATGATGTTGAAATGCATATTACATGCATCGGAAGTATAGCGAGAAAATAATATAAAATCGTATGCTGTTTTTTGCTTATGAAATGCTTACATCCAATAATAATATTTATTTGTTTTATGATTTAGTTGACTATTTATTTATTGACTAGGTAACCCATTTCTGCAATAAACATTCATTTCATCTTATTTGTATACTACACTCATTGTATGATTGAAATACAATTAGCCCTTGCAACATTTTAGTGCAGTGGGGTTCAATATATGCAGTAAATCCACTCACTGCATGCAAAAAACTATAATTGTTTCAGAAGAAGGAGGAGGAGACTCACTTTTTGTAGTTGACTGTTCAAATTAGGGCCTGGGGGTGTGTGTCGACGTTTCGAACTTCGTTCTTCACGTCGACACACACCCCCAGGCCCTAATTTGAACAGTCAACTACAAAAAGTGAGTCTCCTCCTCCTCCTTCTAAATATTATCCTCACTCGCACAATTTTCATCTTACTATAATTGTTTCAGCTTAGTAGGTTTATGATTGCTGTTGGTGTCGATTTCTCATATCACTTTATTCAAACACAGTATTGTAGATGCAAATCAAGAATGCATTTGTATAATTAAATGAATTTATTTCATAGTAAAATAGCCTTATATTATTATTTCATATGAAAATTCTTAGACATAGAAGTATCGGCAGTATTTATGTATATAGCAAGAACTATGTAGAACCATATAATTTCTAAGACTCTCTGTCATGATTTTGTTATATGGGATTTTACTAAGGTAATAAATATACGATATATACATACGTTAAGTTATTTAACCATATAGTGCGAGTCTCTGGTAAGCGACATGAGATTAAAGATGAGCAACTCTTTCCAGTGGTCTTCTGAGATGGTGTTATGCCCTTAGGATAAAAATATTGTATGTAAAGTCTCGACTTTAAAGACGAGTCTAGATGTGAGTGAATATTGATATATACTTACAAATTATATCCCTCGCTCGTTTTGCTTCTCACCAACACACACAAATACATATACCACATATTCTCTACGATAAGTATTTCCGATTGCATAAAATAAGTGTAACATACTCTATGGTTATACATAAATAATATGCGAAATATATCAGCAATTGGAGATGTTTGAGGGATTTAGTGTTATCCTACTGAAATAAACGGTAACATTTATTACGCGCCAACCGATGGAGTTAATTAAAGCTAAGCTACGCTTAGCCAGGTCGTGGTGGCAATATTAGGATACGTGTCTCTTTTTAATGAACACGGTCAACAATTAGTCGTTCAATAGTATAGCAGAATGTTATTTATTTGGTTGTTGATCAGCTTGGATAAGCTGGTTGATCTTATTCAAGTAAAAATTTACATAAATTTCTCATAACTTTCAAAACTATTTTTGCCTTTATCAAATCACACATTTTACCAATGCTACCTTGTACACAAAACTAGTAATAGTTTTCCTTTTAAGCCGTAGCATCACATTTATTATTAAATTTTAATAAACCAACTTTAACTTATGCACGAACTGATCGGAGTTTGTATATGTATATCCATACGATGTATCGTTTCCCTTTCTTGTAGTAAGGGAATGCATTCGAAGCATAAAGTAAATGTGAAAAAATACTGTAAAATCGAAGCAACTTAATGCACTTCGGTTTTTCCTAAACCAATAATGTAGTGAAGTTAAGTGTAGTAACGAGGCATAAGAGCATTTTGATTATTGTATTTGTTTTAATTTTTGTCGTCCTCATTAACTAATGTATACCCACATTTTTCCTTGTAAATGGATTGGCATTTAAACTCAATTGAGAAAATTGATTCTAACAATTTGGGCTTGTTTGCTATTAGTATGGATCTACTACGTTCAAGCGCTACATGTTTGTAAGACATTACAAAATTGTAGCAAACTGTATTAATTTTACGCAACTGAATCATGTGCCATAAAATTTGGTTACAATGATTATAAGTTTCTAAT